GATGAACGAGAAGAACCAGACGATCCACTGAAAAAAAGAACTCAGGAGAAAAGAAAACGAAAGGAAGTGGACTGTAAATTCACATGTCGGTTCTTTATAACTATAAGGGATAAAGGATAAAAAGGATAAAGTTTTCGGCGTTGATCAATCCCTGAGGGATACGCCATGCATTTGACTTCAATTTTAACTTCGTTTGAGGTGATAGAATGCATATCTGGCCTTTTACAATGACTCGCGGTAGCCTCCCGCTGTAGCGAGTCAGTGCTGCTTATCCTCCCAGATAAGTTTGAAACCTGCTCTGGTACCAATTTACCAACCCCGGAGGGATGGATGGCTTGGTGAGCCATGAGCGCGAGATTGAACCATTGACCTCGTGTGCGACGCAGAGCACCTCTAACCACTGCGCCACATGCGCTCTTACTATACTGACTATAAGGGAACAAATGGAAAACCGACCTCATTCGCTGGAAAGAGACTTTTCATGAGAGTTTTAGTAACCAATCGAAAGCTAACACTTTAGGCTACAGCGCCCAGTCGCCGTTACTTGAAAAAGCCTTTTTGACGTTGCTACAGAACGAGATTTCTTGCGGCAGACGCGGATATTTCTCACGAGACAGAGCTTTTCCTTTGCTTTTCAAGATATAAGCAAAGTGTTGGATTCAAATAATTACGCTATCGAATGATCATTAACAGTCCAAAAAAAGATCTCTGTCCAGCGAGAACTAGCGCTTCTGGGACATAATTTTAAATGGAGATCACAGCGTTTTGAGAACGCTTTGAAAAACCGGCCATGTGGGGCGATAGCCGGAAGTTTTGGCTTTCGGATGCTTACTAACACTCCTACGAAAACTCCTCCAGCGAATGAGCTGGGTTGTTCACTTGCTTCCCTTATAACCACAAAAGAACTCATTTAACTAGCCAACATTCTCTCAATTATCCATTTTAACTCAGAGATCTGCGTGGTGAGCAAAAACACGGCCTCAGGCGGGAATCGGACCCGCGTTTCATCCTATCCGGGGACGCGTGGTCTACCACTACACCACCGAGGCACATTTGCACGATTACTCATTTTTCAACATCTCTCTGTTAGCTATCAGCCACCAACCTTAAACAGGTTTGGTCGAATATGCGATTTCGCTTTATAAACCCAGTGAGCTGGCAGCCACTGCGAAATTATCCATTTTTTTTTTCAAAGATTGGTATGACTATAGATTCAGCGATGTTGAGTGATACACTAAACTTTAAACCTCGAGGACGACCCTTCTTATCCCTATCCGCGGAGCGCCTGCTCTGCTACCACTCTCTCTGCGATACAAGGTATAGTTATATTGAGGACTGGAACGAGTACCTGCTCGAGGAGCTGCCAGAGGAGGACGAGCTGCTGGACGACGCTGAACGAGAACGGCGTTTCTTTTCCTCTTCCTTTTTTTCGACCATCTGAAAATGGACCAGGATTTCTTCGTTTTGGGCTAAGCCTGAGAATTTTAAGACAACCGAGGACAACGAATGGAACGAAGAAAGGGATGTGAAAGGAGGGAGATGACCACCGAGGCTCGCCACGACCCAACGAAACGGAAAAGGTTGGAACTCGTCGCTGCGGTGCGGTCGCGACGCGGGTGGCCTTGGGTCTTCGTTGGAAATGGAGCGCGTATACTCACGGATTTCTTGCTAGTCCTGTAGATACGGAGCGCCTGGGCCGCAGTGGTTAGAGGGTGCTCTGCAAGACGCTCTGGTCGATGGTTTCGATCTCGCGCTTTTGGCTCACCAACTTTCATCCCTTTAGGATAGTGGATTGGTGCCAGATTCGTCTGGGACCGTAACAGCGTCGACTTGATACGTCGCTAGGGGCACCGAGGGCATTGTAAAGGCCAGATTTATGTATTCAATCACTCAAACAATGCAGCAAGTGGAGGCAAATGCATGACGCATTCCTCAGGGATCGGCCGAAACCGAGAGCTTCATCCACTTATCGTTTTCACCATCTAGCTACGAGATCTAGAAGAAGAATGATTCGCGAATACGTAATAGAGGTGCTGCTTGCAGATGTCGGCTTTATATTGTATCAGCCAGGTACGGTGTGGAGCAGTGGCTAGTGATGCGATATATCAGAAATAGGGTGATAGGTAAGGTGGTGGCTTGATCCCCTCCCACAACACTCCGTTGAAATCAGTCAACGAACACCTTAGGAGATCCCTCAGCTCAGCTATTTGAAGATTGAAAAGAGAATCGCCTCGACCGGCATTCTAAAATCACAAAGAGGTCGAAAGTCCTCAAGCAGCACTCGAAGCCAGATGTGAAGCATTCGAAGATTTCTGTGGAGGATCAATACGAGCAAACAAATGAATGCAAGGAGTGCAGTGAAGCGCACTGTTAATTGTGATGACAGGGATCATGTGATGATAGATTAGTTGTACTAGCCGGTCAAGGTAGTCGATTGGAGGTATGGACATATGATACCGGCGTAACATCGTAAGCCATGCAGTCAACAATCAATCACTTTGACAGACCACGGCCTCAAATGATCTTTTCACTTGACGTAGAGTGATACTTGTTCGACACAGATTGCTGATTGTGGCAGAGGTGAGCCGTAGGGCATGTGGCACTGATGAGGCGTGCAAGAATACGCCGAAACATATACCACTAGAGATGCCTTTATCGGACCTCTCAAAGACTAAAACATTCCATCAGATCAAGCGGTTGTTGTTAAGGAGACAACTTTAGCGTCCTATGCCTCTTTCCCATGCTAGGGAGTGCTTGACGTAACTGAGGTGTCGCACCGTGTCTCAGCAACACAGCAGCACTCTGATGGAACTATCAGTCAAGGAAAACAAGGAATCGAGGAGAACACTGCCCGTGACGTGGTTGAAGACTTCTTCGAGGCTAGAAACCTCATCATGATGCTGCCCTTTTCCTCAATTGTCCTTTCGCATCATCGTTATCTGCGTTTTCTGGAATTGCGTCTCCTAGGTAAACCTCATATTATCAGTCTCGATAATTGCTATATTATCTGAAAGTCGCCAAATCATTTGTCAGGAAGAAGATTTTCCATATGGTATCCTCTTTTTCTCGCTGAATCTACTTGAAATCATCTCTGCTTTTCTGAGTCTTCTATAAAAGATGACGGTATCATCTACAAATCAAGGGTCTAATAGATATTAATTCTCTTGGAAATCCCTTCTCATTGATTTCGTCCTCCTCGATGTTAGATTTAGTAAAGCGCTTCTGTCTAGTTGGCCATCTTCTCTGTACGGGAAAGCAGTCAACTCCGGTTTGTGGTGCGGTTGACTTCCACTGAAGTCATAGCGAGTTAAACGCAAAATTAACGCCGTCTCAGGGCACATCACGAGAAATTAAGCGTTGTTAGTGGTACGTTAATGATTCAGTTCGCTCCGCTAGCTCCTGGTTATCTCGTTCTCTGGTGTTGGGGTTTAGTGTACAATATGGACTTCATCCTTCAGGAAGACAGTTTAAGCCAGGAAGGAGACCACTATCTTCATCCAGAACTTCAATTGAGAACAAAACTGTACTGCGAATTGTCGTCATGAAAGAGAACTAATCGCATAGGGCAAATCGACTCTAATAACTGTAGGGAATATCTTGGAAAGGGTTCTCGAAGACTTCAGGACAATGAAGCTCGTCTATTTGGCAACATCCCAGCTAAATAATAAAGTATGATGAAGCTGACAAGTTCCTCTCTGAGGACGACGAAATTGTCTGTCTGGTAAAATCTTTCAAGCCTTTCGTAAGGTGTTTTATAGCATTCCGAGTGCTAGATGTCGTTTGTGGCTTTCTAGTCAAGCCTCATCACTAACACGCCATTCGGCTACTCGCCCCTACTATAGGGAACGGCGCCAAACATGCTACTTCTCTGCGTCGGGTGAAAAGATCACCCAAAGTGATGTCCTTTCAGAGTGACTGATTGTCGATTGTATTTGCGCGCTTACGGCTGTTTCACTAATATATATAGTATATATCTATCTATATATACCTATATCTAATATACTATATATACTTCAATCGCTATTCTGAGCTTCGTTAAAAATTGTAATACAGTCTGATAGAATGTTTTAAAGCTTTCACGAGGTCTGTGTACAGCACCTCTAGTGCTAGAACGTACGTTTCAGCTTTCTAGCAAGCTTCATGCAGTAGCACATGCCATTCGGCTACTTGCTCCTACTATAGGGAATCGACACCGACTATGGAAAGTGCTTAAAACATTCTCTCAGACCATATTGAATTTCGCCACCTGACCGGCCAGTATTGATAGCTTAATATTGGTTTCGAATCTTGTTATATACTTTTCCTAGTTCACTGCAAAGTGGCAAGGTGTGGCACATGTGCGATAATAAATTCACTGGATTAGGAAACAGTACTTGATGGACATTGCGGGCCCATTTTCAAACATTCCGAAATCTCGTTCACATCCGAATCCGACTTCTATTCGTTACGTTCCTATGACATTTGACCTGATATCACTAGGGCAACTGGCGCTATTTTTCCCGGGAATGGTTATCACAACACGAATGTGAGTCGAATTCTCTCACAGAATGATGTGCCACAAAGGGCATCCTCCTGTGGTTCAATTTCTGTTTGGAAGATGGGCTTTTTATTACGCGTCAAAATTATTAGTGCCTCTCGTTACGAACAATTTCCATCGAGTCCTTATTTCGTTTCGGTCAACTAAAAATCAGCAGTTGGATAAGACTTTCCCTGAATTTGGAGGACGAGATAAACCCTGGTTAGGCAGACTGACTTGGCATGACAAGGTTTTTGTCAACACTGTGAACACATTGTTAACTCGACATGATGAAATCTTGCATGGATAATCTGCTATGTGATCTGAAGATAACAAACCTTCACTTTGCTAAGTTAGAAAACAAATGTTGCTCATTGAATCCTAAGCGTTCAATTACATGTGATTGGTCGTGATCTTTGTCTTAAAGCAGTCATCTGACTTTCTCTTTGTATACCAAACAGAACTGAGTGGTGGTCAATAATTCGACCTCGGACGGGAGTTGAACCCGTGTTTCACTACATACCAGGGACGCGTGCTACCATTACACCACCGAGGCAACCACTCAATTCTCTAAGTATATTTGAAACATCATAACACTGCGAGAAAGCAGTGAACACATATCTTGGATTTTCCTCTTTGCAGTACTATAAGCACAAAACGGTAAGTAATGTCTATTGTGTGTTGTTTGTGTGCTCGGATTGTTACCTGAGCACAACTTCGTATTGTTACTACGACCATCGCAGGACGTTCGCAGCCCGTGAGAAGGATTGTAAAAGGACATTAGTAGTTCCTAGCCACTCTCGCAATTTTTTCTCGCACCTATAGTAATCACTCGTAGCGAGAATGTTGAAGAAAAAAGAAGCGCGGGTAGAGTCGTTACTCAGATTGCTTGCCCAAATTTGTATCGAAATCGTCTGAGTGTTGTCCAAGATACGAACCTATAAATCAACCAATCATGAACTAGTGACCGTCGCATTTTGTATCTTATTCTTTGCTCCTTTTGCAAATGTTGAAAGTACAAAGTGAAATAGAACTCTTTACTTCTTCACAAAATTCAAAAACTAGGAACAGTAAAAAAACGATGAACAAGAGACTAATCTGTTCGCATAATCAAAGATATTCAATACAGAACTCACTGAAGGACGACCTGAATTATGTGCCTATGCCCTATGCTCACAAATGAAAGACTTTATAAGACATAATAGCTTCAATATAGTAGGGAATGACGACGGCTCTCAACAATTCTTATTTCAGACATTTGGTTAAATTAATCCCTTCACTGATTAGGGCAAACAGTTCTCGAATCTCTGGTGGGTTCTCGCAGCGGTCCAGTTGCTCGCAAGCCCATTTCAGTTTTCGATTTACAGCGAGTAACACTGTCGCATACTCATCGGATGAGTGAGAGGCAAGCTGTAACAGTAAGCTAAAAATCTATATAATTCTTTGGTCAGTGAAAAATAGGACATAACTCTTGGCCGTTGATCGATCCCTTCAATCTCTCAAAGATGAGTCGTGTATTCGACTTTATCAAGCTTCGTTTAAGGCCTCTGGGTGCACATATGACCTTTACAATGACCTCGCGGTGACCCACCGACATACCAGATCAGTGCAGTTTTTTTTATCCTGACTAAATCTGTTACCGCTTCAACGAGCTCCGGTGAGATGAAGGCTTGGTGAACCTTGAGCGCGAGATCGAACTGACCACGTGTGCATTGCTGCGCACCTCTAACCATTATGCTCTCTCTAACCAATATAAAATTAGAAAGTGTTGAATAAAGCACCGTTGGTAAGCACAAACTACTTATTATCGCTTACTTGTGCTATCACTTGAGATGAGTGACAGAGTCGTTGAAACGTAATCCATTGCATTTTGAGAACAAAATCTAAAGGACCAAGCTTTCGCCCTCTGTCCGGAGGGATACACCATACACTCGACTTCATCAAGCTCGCTTCAGATGACTGAATGCGTATCTGACCTTTCCAATGACTCACGGTGGCTTACCGATGTATCAAATCAGTCCTCCCACAAGTCTAACACCATTTTATTGAAAACTCATCGAAAATGGCAGATATCAAGTCTGCTATCTACACGGAGACGTGATTTACTGATAGTTCTCATAAGTCGGCTAGACACATCGCTTTCATCCGTCGCACGTTCAAGCGATACTAATACTAATTCTGTCACTTATATTAGTTTGTTCCTCCGAACGTTGTGTCGTCAACTACAATATATCGAAGTAGTAAAGAGGTGGTCTACAGAATGTATATTTTAGCGAGAAACCTTTGTGGAATTGTTTCAAGGTGCAAACTCGTATGTTTTAGCGAGAAACCTTTGTGTAATTGTTTCAAGGTGCAGACTCACGGGCATCTATAGCAGAACAATATCAGTGGAAGTTCATAAAATGATAAGCTGGAACTAACATCGAAGTTATTCTGACGAGAAGTCATGAGAACAGCATCGTGCGATCTTGACTCATTATTCGATTTCATCGATGTCTCACCAAAATCTTGCATAGGTCCTTCCGCCCATGTCTTTCTTTCGACATCAACAATCCGTACCTTCAAAAAACAGCGTCATCTAAGTTATGCCCCTTCCTAACACACTAGTTTCTACCATATTTTACTATTTCCAATTAGCCTTCTAATAATATTATAAACTGGTATCTAATTAGACTGTGGATTCGATATTTTTATATAGAACTTTCTATAGGAACTCTCTTTCTTCCCTCCTCTCCGTCTCCCTCTTTCTCTATCTCTACCTCTCTCCAGAACTTACCGGATTCTGTCCTTGTTGAGATTTTTCTGCTGCTAGGAGAACGTTTCCAGGAGTGACTCCGTCAGCAGTCATATCTGAAACAAAATCACATGCGAAGTAGAATGATAACTGGTGATAATGAAAAGTCTCCATTGAATACCTAACGGTACTTCTGCTACTAGACGAGAGCCTTCTTTGGTACGCTCATTATAAAGTTCACATGTCACGCAATTACGCACACCGTTACGATTTTCCATGAGAATACCCTAAAAAGAGATTATCATTTGGCAAAAGGTGGTTGAAGGCAATGGAGCCGAAACTATGTACACTTATGAATAGTAAGAGGAGTGATAAGATGGCGTAGAAATAAGAAGTCGACTACACACACTGCAAACATCACAATAGGCATCGAGCATGGTCAGTCCTCGAAGTAGAAGCTCGCCCATTCTTCGAGACACATCGTCTCTAAACTGATCCCGACAGCGTTGAGCTTCTGATAGTTGTTCCTGTAGATAAGTACAATTTAGAGGAACTTCAATATCGAACTCATTAACAATGCCCGACATCAGAGCCAATTTCCTGAATATAAGTCAAAAAAATGCAGATTAAGCACTAAAGAACTTGCGCTATTCTGTAATACAGGTATACCTCAGTTAACTCTCTTTTCCCATTTGGCAGAACCATCTCTTCGAAGTTGTTTTGAGTTGAAATATTCCGATTACAAGAATAGTTTCTCTTCTTCCGACACAATCTTCTTCTCGCTGACTCGTCCTCCTCCACCAAACCTACGGTGGCCCATATACCCTAGAACTTTATCGGTAAGAAGCGACAAGATAACAAAGGAAATGTGACGAGACGCAATATATACAATAACGACGAAGACACTGCCATCAAACATGAAAAAATGCGATTCAAACTGTACAAAAAGTAATGGAACATTTGTAAGAGAAATGATAAAGACGAGCGGTCTCGTGATATTCAAGAGGACATATGTATATTTCAAACATCTGAAAAGAGCTATCAACAATAGGCTATCACGATTTAAGATTGTTACGTGGCATACTAAACAATCAACCTCAGCCAGGAATTGAACCAGCGTTTTAGCCATAAGGGGAGCGCGTGCTACCACTTCACCACCGAAGCCACCACTTTGCTACCACTCAGCAGAACTCGGACCTCACAATGCCGCCAAAAAGCAGTGAAAGAAAGAATTCTTATGAATAAAGCATACAAAGTGGCTGATAGCTCAACTGGGTTTGATGCCGATATGGACTTGCCAACCCTCTAAAGGTTGATTGCTGATAACTACAACAATATGTATCAAGAGTGATAGCAAAGCGGTGGTCTCGGTATAGTGTAATGGCTAGCACGCGCTCCCGGTATGTGTGGAACGCGGATTCAACTCTCATCTGAGGTCAAGTATTTTGCACACCACTCAAAAGCATTAGATGCATGATTCAGACAACTTAACACTGCTAAAGAGCAGTAAAACAGAGGATTTGCTTGAGCAATCATGGTCATCGAGAACCAACAAAAGAACTTCAAAACGATTTTGTCCAAAACTCTTGCTCGTCACCAAGTTGCATTATTTGATCATAGCCTTCTCTCTTGGCAGAGCCATCCTCACAAAAAGAGAACCTAAAACTACACTTGTGATAAAATGTGATAAGCGTTTCCGTTTAAAAAAAATGTTTAGTAACATGAAGTAGTATGTCTGCATTAAGAATTTCTACCTGTGATAGGTTCCGTCTTGACAAATTGCTACAATAGATTGCATGGAAGACGACGATGCTAAAGACAAGCAGTAATATAGCTTGTGAAGCGTGGTAAAGAAACTTACGAAACCTTTTATAAAGCCACAAGAAAGAACACGTGGCTCGAGGGAAATCTGAGCCGAACTTCGTTTTTCACCTTTACTTAGACCAACCTGAAATGAAGAAATTCTGCTGAACAGAATGTTATTAGTTCAACACTCAAATACTCACCTTATGTAGAATACCTCTCTTTGTATCATCAGAATCTCGTACAGCGAAAATATGAATAGTACCCTAGTAAGTAGGAATAAACTTGGGTTGTGAAAAAAGTTTTTGAAAACAAAAGATTGCGAAATGTCCTCTCTTTGGATCATGTTCGATGTTGGTGATCCTTTCCAAAACTGATGGTTGACCTTCCGGCAACTTCGCTTTCTTCAGAGCCGTCTAACCAGCTATTCATATTGGAGAAGTGATCGATGTGCTATGGTACACTAAGAGTGATTAATAATCATTCATAATCTAATGACCAAGAATTATTTATAGTATGTGACAACACACCGGTGACTCTCCTACAACATAGGTAGTTCTACGGTTCCGAGGAAGTGAAGTCGCCGAAACGTCAGCCATCGATTTTGAAGATGTACCAACCCTACGCAAGCTTCAAATAGACGGACAGTTCGTGATATATTCCTCATTTCTCATTTTACGGGCCGAGATTACATAGAATTCGGCCTCTCGAGTTATCAAGAATCCTTACTTTGTCGCTAGATAATGCCAGAAAACTAGAGCAAGGGGAAAATGTTAGGCAATGGAGTGAACATGGATCAGCACCCCGGCGAAACTCCATTAGACATCGTGTCACGGCAGCGTTAGCGTCAAAAACTCTGAAAGAAAATAATCGAATGCAGTAAAGAATACGAAACAATTTATCCAAGGAACAAGACAATTTCAAAATGCGTGCTCAGACGAGAAACTACTACACTTCAAATATGACCATCTCTCTATTCTTGTACGCTATGGTCTCCAAACTCATCGATAGCACCATGG